TTAAAATGGTTCTGGATGCCTGAATAGTTCAGCGTTGCACAACCTGGTTTCCGAAAACCAAGTTCCTTCAAATACGAGTAGGCTGTGACTAGTTTAAAGATATTACTCACGTCGAACAGCCAAAATATAGGAAATTCTCTCTTCGCCCTGCCTTCTCTGCTGTTCTTCAGATAGCTATTGTATTACAGTTCCCATTTTGTCTATGTCTAAATTCTGAATGTACCACCCGCCACTAATAAATGTATGTATGCTGACGTACTTTTCATGCGGAGTACCGCTCCCACCGTTCATGAGTTGATCGCTGCCTCAAGGTGTTTTGATACAATGATCTTCGTCCTGAACAGCTTCTCTTGACGCTTCCAAACGCCACGGTGTTCTATTCTTTTTTCTTTGTAGTAATAAATTGCCACCTCTTATAGATATCTCCTTCACTCTGACTGTGAGCGACGGCCCCATATCCAGCTCATTCACTGTAAACGACCTCGGTATCTTTTCATCAAAATCATGTTGGTTCACTCACGGTTGCACAATTTTCCTGAGGTAGTAAGATTTCCCTCTTATGCTGTAAGACTTACTATGCTTGCTGCAGCAGGTAGTTGCTTCTGATTTTGCGACTTCATGCATCAGCTCCCATTCGTTAGACTGATCACTTACTAACTTCCATGGATTGCTTCAAAAGTACTATCCTTCTGATTAGAGTCGATAAAGCTTTTTTAGGTTAGAGTTTTATCTGGAGCTTCTGTAATTAGTTAATCGTTATGAGGCATAATGATGGGAAAACCCAATGTGGAAAAATATCGGCAACCGTACGCATAATTTCTGACAGCCGAAATTTCCACCACTCCGCGGGCTTTCTACAGCGCACGCTGCATCTCTATCTAATATTGGTGCACATATATTTGTGACTTCCAAGTGTTCTTCTGTTGAAACGTTAGTGCGTCCCGCCGTTAGTAAGTTGTAGTTATTTTTCTTATACTTCTATGCTACTAATGATTGGTGAAGTAGTATCTACTTTTGGCCCGCCGCAACTCTTTCTGCAAGAAATTTTCATATTAAGGTCTTATTCAATCCATTGCACAGGGACCCTTCAGAATGGCTGTCTTTTTCGTCTACCTTTTCGCAATGTGGCTATATTTTCCCGCAATTCATTACATTGCACAACAATCTTGCCTTTCACCTATGCCGCTCAATCGATTTTTAAAATGTGAGCTACATGCACTTCTCACTTCAACTCGTTCAAGTAATTTTTGTTGATATTACCATCCAACACATCCTCGGCGTTGTTTAAAATGCCGAAAACCAGCCAATGTTAGTTCAAGACGCTTAGATATGCTCTACTTGGTTTGTTGGTTGGAGTACAAAAAGATGTACGCAAACCACCAATGGGTTCGAGCTCTCAATGAACAGAAGGATGTTGACGTGGTGTACATCGACTTTAGTAAGGCGTTTGACAGAGTGAACCACGAGGTACTCCTTCGTAAACTGAGGACATACGGAATCGGTGGCACGTTACTTCTGTGGATACAAGAGTTTATTGTGGGACGAAGGTTTGGAGTACAGGTTAATGACTATCTGACAGAATGGTTCCCGTCGACCAGTGGCGTGCCTCAAGGTACTGTACTTGGGCCAGCATTATTTCTTATTCATATCAACGACCTTCCGCAGCAGCTCCAGTCACCATGTGTCCTGTTTGCAGATGATTTGAAAATCTGGAGGATCATTGAAAACCAGGACGACTGCGCTCGCCTCCAGCATGACTTAGAGCGACTGTCAACGTGGTCCACTGAAATGAAACTCCCTCTTAACGCAAGCAAGTCGGAGTTCATCAGTATCACCAGACGTCCAGCCACTCGATCATACACCTTGGGCGGCCAGTTGCTCCATCCCAACACATCTGTCAGAGACTTAGGAGTTCTCCCACGACATGATTTAAGATCACTAGAAAATACAGAGAAATTGTACCGTGCGGCACTTCGTATGCTCTGGGCATTACGACGCAGTTTCTCCACATGGTCCGAAGAAACCGTCCCTCGTCTATTCACCTCGCTCATTAGACGAATCCTTGAATACGGTGCCCCAGCTTACCATCCAATAACTCAATGGGAAACTGAAAAACTGGAGAAAATACAGCATATCGCAACTAGAATGATACCAAGTCTACGAAAGCTTCCATATGAAAAACGTTGTGAAAAGCTCGGGCTCTACACACTATCCTATCGCCGAGTAAGAATTGATCTTATTATGACCCATCGAGTACTACACTTGAATCACTTCCCCATACTGCGGCCAATATTTCACCTGCGAGAACCCTGTAACACCCGAGGACATCGTTACAAACTCAGGGTCCCCAGCATGAACAAAGTATCACATCAGCTTTGTATCGAACGAAGAATCGTAAACTTATGGAATACACTACCAGAAGGATTAATAGAGGCCGATTCTGTGAAGTGTTTTAAAACCCGTATCGACGATATATTGGAAACCTGCGCTTTTGTGAAACGATGCACATACATTGCCAAAAGAAGACATTGTATGTCCGGAAATAATAACGCTAGTACAAATATCTAACCGAACACGGATAAACGATTAACGGACCAGACACAACTGCTGATAATTCACAAGTAAATTTTGATTTTTCGTAATTCGATAGAGTTGTACAGAAACCATTCTACTCGCTCTTAAATACAGTCTCAGTCTCAGTCTCAGTCTCAAAATACCTGTGCGTCAATCTAAGCACCATACACTCTCCGACCCTTCATTCTGGTGACAATTGGAAGAAGACTATTGCAGAAGATTTCGTAGGATTTAGCTTATAGTTCGCTCATTTGAACTCCAAACAGCAGACACTTTTGAGGAGTTATTCTCGTTTTTCGCGTGACTTCACACAGAATAATACGTTCATGATTGTTCACCATTTTTGTCCTGCGTTGTTTGGAACTCCATATGGTTTCGCGAGTTTGTACCTGCTTAGGACAATTGTTACAACACTAGACTTGATCCGATCGGCTATTTACTTTGTGAAGCTGTTCAATGCACTATCGTCGGATTCGAAAGAACTTGATCCACACTTCTCGTGTTTTGAAGGAAACGATAGATGTGGCTTGTCTTAGTTATCTAGCCCCGCTAAGTCACCTAGACTTTGCGGCCACTAAATAAAGCCACACAAGCCACGTGATGGCTAAATTGGGACGTAAACTCGCTTATTAGGTCAAGTTATGTAACTCTGGAATTTGCTTACGAGGATTGAATGTCAGCTAGTTGCACTTGTGTGCTAATAACAAACCTCATTCTTCTCCTAACAGGCCAGTATATTAATCTTCCCATTTGCTTGTTGGTGACTAGTTCCTCTGCTGTTTGGGCCTAATCATCACATAAATGATATTCCTATTTCTACATTCTGGGTCTTTTTCTCCCAGCCAAGGTTGATGGTGTAAGGTGTGTGCCATAAATTTGTTCATCAGGGTGCAGGCTGTAAATGTTTGAGGCTTAGCAAGGTTTCAAATCACCTTATCACGCCTCGCTTCAGAGATCCAACAAATATTAAACACTACGTGCATTTCATTTCTAGTTTAACATGGATGATCCAAAAGGTGGCTTTGATCAAGTTTGGTATTAATCGTACTGTCAGCCAACAGGTTGTCTGGACCTACGTTTGCCTCCGACACGTTAGCACAGTTCACCTGAGAAGGATAGTCAACAAAAGCTCGATAATTTCACAACGTTTCCTTATATGGGCCAGTCGAATTTGGTCGTTCAGTTTAATTTCGACGCTGTACTCAATCAATACTGCTGATGACCTACGCTTGTATTACTATACTGCATATAATTACCGTTAGTGGAACAATTGCTGTTCTCCGCAAAGTAATGTAAAATGTACCGCGTTGTCACGCAGTTATCTTGCAAGTTTTGGCGCAGTCATCGGTTCTATCCTTGATAGTACCAGGTGGTGCATTGACTTGACGATTCTCAGAAACATGAAACGTCTACCTATTGCTTTTTCTGACGTGTGGTAGGTTAGCCACTGCGAAGAACCCTCAATGAAATTGCATTTTGGTACTAGGAAATAGTAGCGAAATGAATAACATACATTGAAATTGGGCCGATCCATACTCAATGGGATAGCCAGCACACGGCCGGCAAGACACTGTATGGCTGTTTGACCCCTTCGGGAATCGTCAGCAGTGCGCATTCCATCTGACACTTTTGAAACACGAACCCGCAAATCCACTGTTCCCATTGTGTGATTGGGTTCACTGTGCTATGGTGAGCGTAAACACTGACGTGACTGCTACTAGATGTAATATAGCGCCGCTCTCTATTCCATGACTTACATGTTAACACCGTATAAAGGAAATGGTAGCCCCCTGATTACAAGGAATTGTTAGAGGGAGTTGAATCGTATACCTAAACGTAGGTAGTGAGCGTCGCTAAATAACATGTAGCATCTTAGTTGCACCGGTCTTTGACGTCCTCCGCAGCTCAATGGTCTTAACCACGGACTCTTAACAATCGGTATGCGGGTTAAAGCCTTACCACGACAATATGGAATACGGCCCAGCTAAACAACTGTGATCCGAGCATCGAAATACGGTGAATTCAGTTGCCACAACTCACGTCGCAAGGATAACAATAAATCACGACCTCAAGATAGTGGGATTGAATGCAAACAGCATGCAAGGAACATGGAAGCTAGATGGAATTGCTTTAAACTAATCAGAATGAAAGAAAAATTAACAACCAAATTCGAGGACCCGAATGCAGGAACGCCATTGATTGCTTGACTAGGCCATGTCTTAAACAGTCTCCAACCACTGGTGCGGACCATTCTGAGGCCCCTATCTACATAAAATACTGAATATTGCTGATGATTCCGGATAGAATGGAGCAGTGTGTAGTGTTTTTCCGGACGATTGATGTCTTTCTGGCTGAGTCTACGTATGATTTTCTTGTTGAATTGTATCCGAGGCCACATAGTGGTTTTTCTTTTGTTTTGCATGCAGCAAATTGGCGTCAACACAGAAAAATGCCTACGGTACATTGAGGATTTTGAGCCATCCGAAGAAAACAGAGCTCTCGGACTGATGGGGATTGATGGTAAGTTACGATTGGAAGCATAATATTCCCCGAGTTTCGTGAATTTTTTTCACATGAATGTTCTTCAAAGTAGGTCAGTAGGCAACTTGAAATAATCAACAATTTGCTTGAAAGCTACAACGTGGAAGACCCCAATGATTCACCCCGAAAATTCCCCACTCACAAATGTCGCATAACTACTATCAGGAAAAGTCGTACCTCCTAGGGCCAACCCTTTCCTCTCCAAAGTACATAACTTACAGTAGAGAAATATACGCAGTGTATCGCAGTTAGCCTGAAGATCATGACTGTCTGCCGTTGTCCCGCATGGAGTAGTGGCATAAGTAGCTGGCTTGCAGTGCAAACCGCTTGTGGTCACGGAATCGAATCTTGATGTAGGTGGTGGATGTGCACCAGCAACGATACGCGATAGGTAGACACGTCCGCCTAGAGCTTTCCCGGGCAAATGGAGGACTATGTGATTTGGCTGCGGCTACCAAGTAACCCAAAATATGTGTATTTAACCTAGCTCGTCGCACGGTTGCGTGGGACAAAAGATACGGTCAATGGTCTTAATCTGCCGGATTTGCGTCTTAGTGCAGCTGTCTCTAATTGACATACGCGTGCGAAACCTATCGTGAAGTACAAGTCTGCAAGCTGCTGATGAAAGTTTTGACGTCCTCTCCTAAGAAAAGTAGTCTTTCGACGATGCAAATAACCGAAAACCTTAGAGAGCTACGTTGATTGAAACAACGAATATCCGCCTTTGATCACACAAAATTCCACTCATCGGCGGATGTTTTACTGGAAATTGCGTGTTGTGCTCTTGTTTGACGAGACTATCTGTTGTTGCTTTTCTGTTCCTTCTTGGAACATATCCGGCTGCTGATTCTGGGCATTCTAATCGTGCTGGAAAGTTGGGTTGGTCCGTACTCGACCCGTTACCATCGGATTAACCCATTCCATCTATACTATTGGCGCACCAGGAAGGTGTCTTGCTTCTAAATTAAACTCATCACAAGTGATCGCAATCGCACAACATCACACATTTGATACCGAACAATACAACCATAATTGGTGCCGAGGTCAACGAACCACTTTTGATACGTTCAAAAATTTGAAACGGTTTAACAACCAGGAAGCAAAGCCGCGTAAGCATAGATTTGTAGTTGAAATGGTTACTGGAACTGTTTGTGTAGCTTTGTATTCAATGGTGGCCGAAACATTTGATTCCACGGTTCCATGTAACCACGTCAACCATACTAGTTAGACGCCCCATTACACTATGGTGTTACACTTTGCAAGGGTATGGTACTACGAAGTATCACGCTATTTCTAGCGTTTAACGCACTTCAATTGTACAACAAGTAATTCTCTCTCACTTAAGCCAGTGTTCGGTTATATAATTGGTTAGTTTAAACGGATTAGTTTCTATCCAAGAGTCGAGGGACTTCAGACAAGTACTAGGCTCTCCTCTGTGTCCCGAAATGGTTTGTTTTAAGTAGTAGAAAATATTCCAACGGGCAACTCTTGTGAACTAATTGATACCAGCTACGCCAAATTTTTGCATAAATGGGCCTCAGCTTGTAACCTAACCCATTACTCCGCTGGCGTTTCTTGAAAACCGCGAGAGCTAATGATTCACCGACGTGTTTTAACTTTACTTGGAGCCGCACGCTGATCCCATGGTTAGATACCCACAGTTGCAAGCAGATGAACTTAAATGAGTCATTTGATAAAATCGGTTTACATAAACCACTAGTAAGTAAGCTCAGGTGAAAATGCACTGGAGGTTTGTAGCTGGGCGCCAACAACCACCGCTCTTCTTAATTCGGACTATCTCGCTTCTGGTGATCGCGAGAAATGCGGTCAACTTCCCACGTAAATAGCAGCGGAAACAACGCGCGTGTGTGTGGTAAAACCAACCTTCGCATGCAATTTATCATCTACCGATATTCTGATATTTTTAACCACAGGCCAACTATCACGGAGGGGGAAATTCTTGCATTCTTATGTAAATTAATCAATGCACGGAATTGAACTGTCGCTTGTCACTCTCGCGTCCGATCTCTAAGGCGAAGAGATTGTCTTTAAAAAGTGTTTTGTTCAACCGGTAAATGGGAAAGGTTTTAACTAGTACTTTCACATTCGGAGCTGAAATTGTCACATGGGATGATAAGACTATTCATTTCCGAACGTACTTTCATTCCAGAGCTTGCTCAGCCCAAACGAGGGTTGCTTGAAATTAACCATCGAAAAAGTTTATGTCAGAAACTAATTAAACCTTTCATCCATAGATAAAGTAAGCAGTTGTTCAGAAGGTCAGGAATGGGGGTCACATCCTGCGTCCCGCAATTACACACCACTATCTTTTCCCACGGAAGCTTATGAGCACAAAGTTATCGGGAGAGGAATCGCCCAAGTATTGAGGGGTTTCACTGATTTGGCGCAGTTGAGGTGTTGACGGCGGTCCTACTCCCGGTGTTTACCAGTTTTCTCCTAAAGGGTTACTTCATTATCCTTTTTCGGTATGCAACTTTGTATTTTATCCCAACTCATTAACGGTTGTGATAAGCGCCGTCATGCCGGTACGAGTCACGGTACTAGGACTTAGTGTATTTTGATTGCACTGTACAGTAGAACAAATTAAACGTTCCTGCATTCATGAACCATTTTGAAGTTCTCGTTGTGTGAATGGATCTCGATTTGCAATCGCAAAGCACACCGCGATTTCCATTGAAGCCAGCTTTGGTCAAATTGCGCACTTCATTAGCATCATTATACACGCCAACTAGAGGTGGGAAACACCTCCGCTACTCTGCCGCAATACATAAAGGAAAAGGAAAATAAATACAACAGTTGCATGCCAGCTGAGCTACCAGCAACGGATAAGCATCGTTCTGGTAAGCTACCAGCCGGCTACCAGGTAAAAAGAAAACTTATCATATTTTACACTATGAAATGAGATCGTAGGTGGAGGGGAGGCTAAAAGGGATGGGGAGAGAAAAAGAAACTCACAGCAAGAACGCCACTGAGGTCGGCTCCTTGCCATGTCAGCAACTGTATCCAACCAAACGTGTTCACCGTCTTTTGGACCCCAACCAGAAAGTCGTGAGGCTCCAACCGAGGCCAGCTCCGAAGTGAGGGCCTTCATTCCTCTGAACCAAGTGATCGCTTAGCCACCCCTCCTCTTCTCCCATCCACATACCCCGGTGAGCAAACCACGCACGTCGTGGAAGTTGGTGGACTGGCATGCGCAACACGTGGCCCAGCCATCGGAGCCTGGTGCGTGAAATGACGGTGCTGAACGGTTCAGATCCGTAAACAAGAAATCGAACGCGCTTGTTACTCAAGCGGTGTTCCCAACAGATGTGAGCCAAACTGCGAAGGCTCCGATGGTCGAACATAACTAGCCTCCTCATGTCTGCTGATCTTAAGGGCCAGGTTTTGCAACCGTACTTGGATTTTGACTTATGCAGGAGATGAATATTTGGTGCTGCTCGCTTGAGAACACTGCATTCCAGTACCGGTTTTGAACTTATGTGATCTTATCATGTAAGGACTCGAACCTGGAGCCTATGGGATGTAAATCAAAACCTCAACCCATAAGCCACCGACTTGCGATGGCCAACTTTTGTCACGACGGTTACTGGCTAATTATTTTGTTGTTTTTGGGCAGTCGTTACCCACCATAACTCGATGGTTTAGGGTTAACCTTTTCGGCTAACAATCCAAACGCCTCAGGTTTGATGCTTGCTATATCTATCCGTGGAGGTCACACGAGTTCATTGTTAGTGGTGGAGTGGAACGTTTACATCTGTTAGATTCATCACACATCTTACTGGTTATCAACACTTGTCTAAATCATTCGGTTTGTAAAACCGTGGCTTGGCCGTTTGACTCCTATCTCCAAAGCATATTACCATACAAGCGGGAAGTTGGTAGCAGACTGGGAAACTTATAGCTAGTAACATGTTACCTTGATTTACTTCAGACAGGGTCCAGGTAACTAAACTGACGGAAGTGACAAGGAAGGTGAATCGCTTGCCGTGGTGTTTGGCCAGTAGTTTGGTGGATAAACTAAAGCTCGCCGGTTCGATTAGGTGTAGATGTGAACGACTTCAAAGTACCCCCAGCAGTTGCCTATAAGGAAAGTTCAAAAAGGAACCGAACTTTTGCTATAACCTTTTTGTTGCTCATTGCGCAACATCTTTAAGCACTTTCCCTTTCAAACTAGTCCCCTCTACTGGCAATACACCGTTCCCAATGGTGCTTCCTTTTTTGGAAAGCCACCTGCAACATACTTCCTGCGATGGCGCGCAGATCTCTTGTCACCTTGTACTGAATCAACTCCATGGTTTGGATTCGACGTCCTTTCAACGTGGTTTTAAAGTTGGGAAACTGGAATAGTTTGCAAGCGTTAGGTTCTGAGAATACGTTGAATGGGGAACACACGGATTGTAATGGTTCGCTAGAGAGCTGCGGACAAGGAGCAATACGTGAGTCGGTGCGTTATCATGATGAAGCATCCAAGTCTGGTTTTCTCACAGCGCAGGCCTCATATTCGGCAAAGCATCAGCGTTATTTAAGGTTGATGCCCGCATTGTCAGCAACTTGTCAAACAGTTAAACGACGTGTTCCACGGATCACAGAAGGAACTTTCTCCACATGGTGGTCGTCTGTTGATGTGGAAGGTGGTCCAAGCTTGGGATCGTCACCGACCGACATTCTCCCATGTTCAATGCAAGTTACCCGCCCATAGCATTGCGTACGACTCATACAGTCCTGCCCGTAGGATTGGCTAAGCAAATGAAATGTGTGTAAAAGTTTTGCTAAATTTGTAGCAAAATTTCACACACACACGTTGTTTCGCACGTCCATTCATCGTCACTTTGGCACTAGTCCGCCGAACAGCTTATGCACGTGCTCAGTTCAGTGGCTGTAGCTCCCGAACTAACAGTCAGGATGTAATGCTGCAAATGGCTGTTTGTTTCCATGCAAACCTCCACAAGCGCCAAGCA